GCAGAAGAATCTGTGATAGAGTTTGTTTTCAAAGTTTAAAAGTTTTAAAAATATAATGTTGATACTTTTTAATGAGGAGTTTGTTTAAACATGATTACATGTAGGGATTCAGGACCTCTATTTTCTTCTTGAGGCTTAAGTAATTACTGGAATTTCAAAGGTAACTTGGAGACAAAAAAGAAAGACAAAGGAGGGTTCTTGCAATTAGTGAGGCTGCCTGCCTGCACTGTGGAACACTGCGTGCAATGGAGAAGAAGGCGGGGTCAGCTTAGCTTAGGGCCACACTTCTTCAGCTCTGGAAGTTCTCTATGCTCATGAACTACAGCAGAATAGCATCTTGAGATCATCTTTTCCAGTGTTTCTTCAACTTTTTTGCAACTTAAGACTCCCGTTGGGCCGGGCGCGGTGGCTCACGCCTGTAATCCCAGCACTTTGGGAGGCCGAGGCGGGTGGATCACGAGGTCAGGAGATCAAGATCATCCTGGCTAACACGGTGAAACCCCATCTCTACTAAAAACACAAAAAATTAGCAGGACGTGGAGGCGGGCACCTGTAGTCCCAGCTACTCAGGAGGCTGAGGTAGGAGAATGGCGTGAACCCAGGAGGCGGAGCTTGCAGTGAGCTGACATCACACCACTGCACTCCAGCCTGGGCCACAGAGAGAGACTCCGTTTCAAAAAAAAGTCTCCTGTTGTCTCATATTTCCTTATACGAATCCTTACCTATGAAATAATACTACTAGTTCATACACTAATTAATAGTCAAGCAGAGATTTTTCTCTCTCTTATTGATGATTATATCGCCAAACCTAGAACCATGCCTAGCACTTAGTAGATGCTCAGTAAATATTGGTTGAATTAATTATGCTTATTTTGGGCCAGACACTGAGCAAAATGCTTTGCATGCATGACTTGAAAACCAACTACATATATTATATATGCATTAACTGATGTTCCTTTTAAAAAACTTAAACATAGGCATAATTTCCATCCACAGTTGCTGAGCAAGAGGTGAAGTAATATCGGAAACAACTACATTTTAGATAGGAGCTGCTACCTTATGTGCTGATGTTCGAGAAACGCTGAAAAGTCATAGGCCTCTCAGGGGTTGCAGGACTCCAGACTGGGGTCATTGATTCATTATAGCACTTTCATTTTGCAGACAAGGAAATTCAGTTCCTCAGAGGTTTAGGTGAGTTGCACAGGGTCACACAGCTTCTCAAAGAGCTAGCACTCGGACCTGGTGCCTGGACTCGGGGATGAATGAGGAACAACAGCAAATCTAGAACCCCTGGTTGATGGTTTTTTAAGTTTGAGGGGGTATAGGTGGGAAATTAGATCAAAACCTTTGTATTTGTATTGTACAGGTCATTAAAGGCCTTGATTCTGATGCCAGCTGAGTGAATCACTCTGTTGCCCGCAGTTTAACAATATAATCTACTCTGCTCAAGTTGATTGTCTTCATTTTGCATGGAGGAGTAGAGATTGCATGTAGCAGATGATGTGAACAGTGCACAGCTTCAAGTGTTATTTATTGTTCCCCTCAAGGCTCTGTGTGGTGAATGAGGCACAGATAGAATTAGAGGCCTTGGCTTGATTCCTTGAGGTCACACCCCCTTTCCTTCTGCTAGACAGCCAGCAGTCAGCCACCCACCCTACACCATGATGCGATGAGTTCCGTGACTGCCTTAAGGGTGATCTTGAGTTTGTAACTCCGGGCCCTTTGATTCAGACACATTATGGTTCTAACCTCTATGCATCTAGTGTATTAAAACAATTCTTCTTTATTATCAGAGAATAGTTCATACTGGAGAAAATAATTTATTATTGCTTTGCTATATACACATTGCAGATATATGCTTTAAGAAGGCCAGATATGAAAATGTTCCCTGTATTTTGTCTATGTAGTGGTATAATCTGTGATTTAAAATTTCTTATTTGCTTTTTTCTTTTACAATGAACACGATTTGTGTGTGTGTGTGTGTGTGTGTGTGTGTGTGTTTACAATGAACAAGTACTCAGCTGTCAGCACATAAACATTTACAAATCTTAAATTAGTGATGCCCAGCTTGGAAGGCTTCGGATTTCCTTGCCTTCAGTGAATTTCTCCCTGTGACCTCACAGTTCCTTTAGCACTTGGGTGTTTCCCGGGGCAGCGGAAGTCCTTCTGTGGCCCGTGGCAGGACGGTACTCCTGGAACCCACAGGGACCATTATTTAGGATGGGCAGAGCCCCAAGGTAGGGGGAAGATGGGTAGGTCTGGCTTTCTTCCAGAGTCACCTGGGGCATAAATGTCCAGAATGGTCCCCCTTTCTTTTTAGAATCTGAAATAGGACCCCCCAGAGTCTAACAGAAGCACATAAAAGTTGCCACGCAGCCAAATCAAAATGGTTCCTGACTTGCCTGCCACTTCTATCCATTCACCACTGACAAGGCCAACCTCTGATGGCACAGAAACTTGAGTGGTGACTATTTTTCTCATTTCTTTTCTTTTTCTTTTTCTTTTTTTTTTTTTTAATTGAGATGGAGTCTTGCTCTGTCACCCAGGCTGGAGTGCAGTGGCGTGATCTCGGCTCACTGCAGCCTCTGGCTCCTGAGTTCCAGTGATACTCCTGCCTCAGCCTACTGGGTAGCTGGGATTACAGGCACACGCTACCACACCCGACTAAGGTTTGTATCTTTTTAATAGAGTCAGGGTTTCACCATGTTGGCCAGGCTGGTCTTGAACTCCTGACGTCAGGTGATCTGCCCACCTCGGCCTCCCAAAGTGCTGGGATTACACGCGAGCCACCGCGCCTGGGCCTAATTTTCTTTTTATGATAAATAATATCAAAACATGAGGACATTTTAAGAATCGCCAGTCATAGATGGTGCATCTAAGCAGTTTACATTTTCTTCTTACCTTAACAGGGCAATGAGAGGGAAAACACAGCAGAAATAAGAAGCGCTAGATGGGAACCTGGACACTGGCTGACACTGTTGACCATTGTACTGTCATCCATTGTCTGTCAACAAACCTTTGACTGGATGTTGCTGGTGCAGAACATTTCTTTTTCATAGATACAATATTGTGCTTTTATTTTTACTTAAAAATACGAATAAATGTGAAGTTGTTCTTCATTTCCAACTCCCCCCTATCCCCTGCCACATAGGAGGACCTCTGCTGCCCACCTTTGGCCCCAGCCTTTTTATCTGGGGACCGCGAGGACAGCGCCCCCATGCCTCGTCCCCTTGGCCTCACCTGAGCCTGTAGGACTGTCTCCTGCTCCTTCAGCACTTTCGCCTGAAGCTTCCACTCTGCCGCCTGGTTCAGCAACTATGAGAAGAGAAAGTGTGTGGAAAGATGGTCAGATTGACCTTTTCGATTACTATTTGGCTGTAATTTGTCTATAAAACTTAATAACCTGCTCATTAACCTCCTTAAGTAATTTTTTGGAACTCTGAAAAGAATCTAAGAAAGCTTAAAAAAAACCAGGCCCAGCACGGTGGCTCATGCCTGTTATCCCAGCACTTTGGGAGGCTGAGCTGGGAGGATTGCTGGAGGCCAGGAGTTTGAGACCAGCCTGGGCTACATAGGGAGACCCTGTCACTAAAAAAAAAAAAAAAAAAAAAAAAATTAGTCAGGGGTGATGATGCATGCCTGCAGTCCCAGCAACTCAAGAGGCTGAGGCAGGAGGATCACTTGAGCCCAGGAATCCCAGGTTGCAATGAGTTACGATGGGGCTGCTGCACTCTAGCCTGGGCAACAGAGTGAGACTCTACTTCTAAAAAAATAAAGGAAGAAAAAGAAAAAGAAAGCTAAGAAAATAATTGGCCTAAAAACGTTGGATTCTCAACTATAAACTAGCGGTTTTAATGAAAAAAAAAAAAAGCCTCCAGCTTAAGTATGAATCACAAAAAATTCAACTTCCCACCACATTCTGGAACCCTCTCTAGCAATCCTGGCCAACAATCATTCAGCCTCTGCTTGAACCTCTCCAGAACTTCCTCACTTGGTGCACTTTTGTCAGCAACTGTTTCTTTTCTTTCTTTTTCTTTTTCTCTGTTTTTTTTTTTGAGATGGAGTTTCTCTTTTGTCGCCCAGGCTGGAATGCAGTGGTGTGATCTCAGCTCCCTGCACCCTCCACCTCCTGGGTTCAAGTGATTCTCCTGCCTCAGCCTTCTCAGTAGCTGGAATTACAGACACCTGCCACCACGCCCAGCTAATTTTTATAGTTTTAGTAGAGAAGGGGTTTTGCCATGTTGGCCAGGCTGGTCTCCAACTCCTGACCTCGTGATCTGCCTGCCTTGGCCTCCCAAAGTGCTGGGATCACAGGTATGAGCCACGGTGCCTGGCCAACAACTGTTTCTTGATAGTAAACCCGGAATCATTCTCCTAGACCACTGTTCTCCACCATAGCACATGTGATACAATAAGAAATATGTATGTCCTTGGTCTTTGTCCCTGATTCCTGACACAGATCTTCTAACATGCATCAGAATCTCCTATGGAACATATTAAAATGCAGATGCCTCTCAGATAATATGATTTAGGAAGTACAGGGTGTGACTGAAATCTGTGCTTAAAGAAAATACCCAAAATGGTCTGGATATCAGTGGTCTGTGGATTACATTTTGAGAAATACAGGTTAGAAGTTTGACTTACTGGTCTGAATCCTGGCCCCTGAGAGCTGATGGGTTAAACTGAAAAGGTGATTTGGGCATACAATGACACACTCATATATAAGCTTGTAATTTTTAACTTAAGATGAATGTCTATTTCTCAATTTTGAGGAGGGGCTGTGGTCTTTGTTTTGGGTATGGATCTTGTGATTAGAGTTCAGAGGGTTTTTTATTTTGTTTTTATTATTATTTAAAAAATCACATACATAGTGTGCCATATAAGATTTCTAGGTTGTTAGGCTTGTGTGTGTGTTTAGCAATAGTGCTACAACCTAAAAATACTTGTGAAGCAGCTTGACTGGATAATTCTCTAGAGTTTTCCACTTCCCCCCAGTCTTTTATAGCTACTCATATCTAGTTTGACAGTTTTTTGCCACTTGTTTGCATTTAGTCTTTCAAAGCACTAAGCATAATTTGCACAAACAGTTTTTTGTTTTCATACTTATATTTCATCAGTTTATGTAACATCCTGTTGATTTACACAAAAGCAAGTGCAATTGGAAAGAAAAGGTTTGTGCAAAGAGCTGATTCTTGGTAAGCTCCACTTTACTAAACTGGGGCAAATATTTGTAGCCCTTCCAGAGAGTGGCTTGGTAGACCTGCGAGTCAGCATGCTGTGGGCATCAGTTAGTGTGTTTCACAAAGACAATAGTGAACATCAGAGATCAATTTGGCTAGTCTGTCTGGAGGCCATCAATTAAGAAGTTTCTCTTATATTTGAAGATAGGCTGATTGAAATTTCCTACTTTTAGTTTATCCCTATTGTAAAAAAATGTCCACGAGGTCTATGCATTGCTTATGTAATCGGAACCAAAAAAACCAACAATACAATCATTATTTTTAAAAATTGGAAAGCATCTTTTTCCTCATCTAAGTTTGTCTTTTTCCTACGGCCCAACCTCTCCATTTGTAAAATGGGTTGTATTTGTTCCTCTATGCTTCCCAGTGTGCAGTGAAGATTGATTCTTAATAGAAGTGCAACTGACTGGTCCTATGAGAGGACTAGGGCAGCTGTGGAATAGAAGCCCTACAGTGTCCCCTCTGGCCATCTAAGGGGAGTGTTGGCACTGTGCCTGCTTATTGTGAGCTGGCTATGCAGCCTTGTTGTGACTGGTGACCCCTGACCTCGAGGGAGGCTGGTGGCTGCCTATTCTGCCTGGATGACCTGATACCTCATCACTTCCAAAGGGAGGTGCCTGAGCTGCAACCCAGGTAGGCGGCTAGCTTCGAAGAACTGAGGGGAGCTCCCTCTCTTTGACTCAAATCTGTTTTGCTGAACCAGGGCGGGGTGCTAGTTTCTTGCTAAGGCTGGATCGTCTCAAACCTGCTCTCCAATGTCTCCCATGTGCATCTTTGTCTAGTTCTTTCTCGGTCGTGTCTCATGTGTTATATAACAAAGTACTGATATCCTGTGGGAAGCATATTTTACCCAAGAGGGTAATTACACCAATGGTGGAATTTCTATTCTCTTGGATTGTGAATAATAATTGAATGTTTTATTTCTTGCTTTCAGAGCTAGGTTGTAGATGGATTTCATAAATTAATCTTTTTCTTAAGAGAACATGGACTTCTGATTTGAAATTATCCAATGTCCACCAGATTATATTGCCCAAAATTTGTCTTTTTGTTGCCATGTTTGAAAAGTTATTTTAAAATTACTATTCTAACCAATTGAATTGATTCTGGTCTGATTTTGGCTAAATGAAAAGCTCAAGATCAAAATGTGAAATGGCCAAATTTGAATAATTGGTCCATGGACTATGTTTTACCTCTCTCTCACCCCAGCAACAGATACATGCCTCAACTCATACCTCTGAAACACACATCTGAGCGTGATGCATTGTCACAGAGAGTGTGGGCTTTGGGAACAGACGCACAGAAGATCAAAACACATCTTGCTCAGTCAGCAGCGTGTGACCTTTACAAGTTGCATATCTTCTTGGAGCCTCAATTCTCTCATCCGTAGAATGGCCTTACAGCTTTTTAGGGGGTGCTTGGAGTTAATGAGATATCAATAAACACTGCCACTCAGTTTCCTCAGGCCAAAACTTAGGAGTCATCCTTGACTCTCTCCTTTTCTCTTTGTCACCAGCTTCAGGTCTGCAGCACTGCCTGTTGATTTCACATTGAAAACAACTTTCATCCATCTCCAACCCTCTTCTCTGCTGCCATATCCCTAAACCAGGTCATTGTCACATTTCATCTGATTGCTATAGTAGTCCCCTAATTGTCTTCTTGCTCTTTTGTCCCTCTGCAGTCTATTTTCCATCCAGGAGCCAAATTAATCTTAGCAGATGCAGAGTAGATCATGCCATCACTTCCTTTGCAGAAGTACCCAGTACTTTCCCATTGTATTTAGAATGAAATCCAAATGACTTTTTAAGCCCTACAAAGCTACCCAATTTGGCCCCTGCTTACCTCTCCAGCTTCATTTTGAACTTTTACCCCATGCTCTTGCTTCCCTGACCTTTTCCTGTTTCTGGAGCACACCAAACTGGCTCCAGCATTAGGGCGTTTGTTGCTGCTGCAGATGCTGGAGACGATGCTCCAAGTGGCAGCTCCTCATCGGGCAGGGCTTAGCTCAATCAAGCATTCTTCCCTCCAGGAGGCCTTCCTGGTCACTCAATCTAAAGTACGTCCCCTTCTTTGGCCCCTTCTCAGTTTCTCTTTATTTCCTTAGTAGCAGTGATTATTGTCTGTAATGACCCTTCCTTGTTTGCTCGTCTATTGCCTGTCTTTTTCCAGTTAGACTCTGATCTCCATAGTGGGAGATGGCCCTTCTCTGTCTTGTTCACGGCTATGTCCCAGCACCTAACACAGTGCTTAGCAGATAACAGGCACTTGAAAAATATGTGTGAAATGGATGAATGACGATTTTATGTAGAAAGTAGTGTAGATACAGTGCCTCAGACTGGGCTGGCTAATTTAGTGCTCCATAGAAGTTGGGGCTCTTTCTCCATCAGTCTAGTGCTCTTTGACCATTATAAAAACAACTCGCAGCCAGGCGCGGTGGCTCACGCCTGTAATCCCAGCACTTTGGGAGGCCGATGGGGGTGGATCACCTGAGGTCAGGAGTTCGAGACCAGCCTGGCCAACAGGGTGAAACCATGTCTCTACTAAAAATACAGAAAAAGTAGCCGGGCATGGTAGTGGGCGCCTGTAATCCCAGCTACTTGGGAGGCTGAGGCAGGAGAATCGCCGGAACCTGGGAGGCAGAGGTTGCAGTGGGCCGAGATCGCACCACTGCATTCTAGCCTGAACGACAGAGACTCTGTCTCAAATAAATAAATAAATACAAAACAACTTGCTCAGAGTGTCTCTGACACTGAGTTGGAGCAGATATGCAGAATGACTAAAATGATAAGTACATATTCCTTTTCTCGTTTGTGTCGCTCCTCTGCTTCCTTCATCATTTCTTGGGCCTGCTCAAGCTTTGCATCCACCAGCTTCTGCTGCAGTTCTCTGTGTTTAAATATTTTGTCCAGATGCTAAGAAAAATAAAGTATACATAGAAAGTTTGGTTTATTATTGGTGCTTAAAAATGCAAAATAAAATAATTCACATTAATATACATTCTCCAGGTTTTAAGATGTAAAAGAAGAGAGGGATAAATGCATTGGCATCACTTACAGCTTTATACTAAAACTGTAAATTGGTGAACCATGCCCACCCCCAACTTTGCACCACACACACAAAGGTAGCTACAAAAGGTAGAGGCACCAGAGTTCAGCAGTGTCAACACCAAAAGATCCATACAATATTTTTCTACATTTGGTAACTATTAGATATGATGCTATTTATTATGTTAGACAGCGCAGACAATCATCTATCAGTATACAATATACAGGGGCTGCAGTTGTATTATTTGGTATTTTGGCTCTTTCTGTGGCTATAAAACCACTTTTAATCACAACATTAGTGCAATTTATCATGATGAATTCTCTGCATTCTTGCCTCTGGCGTTGTGAGAAAGTCTTGGGGTGCCAGCATGTGGTCTGAGGTCTGGGAGTGAGGCCTGAGCCCCCCTGAATTCTACTCTGTTGCTCTGGTGGGGATGACAAGGCCAAGGGTCATAGAGAAATTGATTTGCAAATATGCAGAGCTCACCACACCTTTTGACCTCTGGACTAGTTTGGTGAAGAGAAACTTACAACTCTACCTCAGTATGGATAACTTCCTGATCACTAGGAGGTCCCATCAGAAACAGGACATGGAATTCTACCCTTGGGCTTTACTTACAACCAGTCCCAGGAATGTACAACTAGTGTAGCAGCCCATTCCCATCTGAGATCTCTCTGAAGAGTATGGATATTTTGCTTTCACTCCTTCCTTTCTTCTTTAGTCTGAACCTCCACTCTGGAGCAGGATTGATCCTCGTGACAAGATAAAATGGTAGCATGGCATTTTGGCTTACTGTGAGGAGTTTCTTGATTTACCTAACCACTGCGACCATATGCTGTTGGCTCAGTTTTGTGCTTGATAAAATCTTAGCATGTTGCCAACGGAGCCGCTTTGACTATGTTATGTTACATTTTAAAGCAGAGATTTAAAATTTGGGTGGGATAGGGAAAGGAATATGATGTATCAAAATCCTGAGAGGGTATCTGGAATCTTAAAAACATATTAAATATTAAAATATAATTTGGTGATAACAAAAGACGTTGATCATCCCCCTAATATAACCTATTCAAAGTAAAAGGCTTTTGGCTCTTGTGACTGTGGGTAAGTGGTTTAATCTCTTAGCTTCTGCTTCCCATCTATAATATATTATTAACTAGTGCATAAGATTGTTGAGACAATTAAATGCCATATGGTATGTAAAGTTCAGCACTTAGCACATTGCCTGATACAAACTAAGCACTGAATAAATGACATCATTATTATCACAATGATTACATTATTAATACTATTATTGGCCTAGTAGGGTACAGACTCCTTTTTTTTTTTTTTTTTTTTTTGAGATGGAATCTCACACTGTCTCCTGGGCTGAAGTGCAGTGGCGTGATCTCAGCTCACTGCAACCTCCGCCTCCCAGGTTCAAGCGATTCTCCTGCCTCAGCCTCTTGAGTAGCTGGGATTACAGGCACCCACCACCATGCCCAGCTAATTTTTTTGTATTTTCAGTAGACACAGGGTTTCACTATGTTGGCCAGACTGGTCAACTCCCGACCTCTTGATCCGCCTGCCTCGGCCTCCCAAAGTGTTGGGATTACTAGGCATGAGCCACCACGCCCGGCCAGAATACAGACTCTTAATTTAGATGACATGGCAATTCTTAAGGAGTGCGTGAGTTATTTCTGGCTATACAGAGAGGATTTTTAAAAGGCTGAGAAATATTATTTTCAAGGAAAACTGTGCCCACAGCCTATCACTTTCTATTTATTGCCTTTACTTTGCAATGATGCCAGTTTTGAAGAAATCCCATATGACTTTCAGTCAGGTATTTTGTAAGACCATCTGTCTTCATTTTGGCTAGTCAAGGAAATCCAATCCTAAATATGAATCTGTTGAGAGGGCTGGCTGTAACTGTCTTATTAACCAAGTTCCCACCTTGACCACCCAGATCCGGATCTATGTCCTGTTCTAAGTTGTTTGATGTGGTTCTCACCTCCTCTCTGAGCTCATACTGATCAATGATGCTTTTCAGCTTTTCTGCAAGCTCTGTGTTCTCCTGACAGAGCTTCATATTTCGCTCGCTCTGCTGCTCAATCTGGCCCTGGATGTCCGTGAGGGTACTCTGGAAATGGCTTGTGATTTCCTTCCTTTTCTCTTCTTCCTCACGTGCCCGCTGAAGCGCCTCTTCCTGCGAATAAAAAGCAAAACATTTTGTTTAAATGCACCCCGGGTTTATAGAACTCAGGATTAGGTCACCCAGAGGAGATGAGTGTGCAGAGTAGGTGGGATGTTTTTTTTTCAGTTCCCTAGAGCTAAAGCTGCTCAGCCCCAAAATAAATGTATGAGTAAAGGTTTCAGCTGTGAGTACATAGTTACTCAGAACAGGTGCTGTGAAGGCCTTGAATTTGTAGTCAGTGATGAATAGACTTGTTTTAAAGATGACGGGTCTCTTGCTGAGTGAATGAACTGCAGCGATTTCTAACAAACACACAGTCACACAATTTTGATCTCTTGGCTGTGGCCTGAAAAAAAGACCCCTTGAGTTTACTGATTGATGAGACAGATCATGTGTTTCTCTGGTTTGGTAAAGGGAGAACAATAGATCTTATATTTCCCTATAAAAACCATGGCATATTAACCACATAATTGTATTACCAAGTTTTGTAAATATAAGTGATCACAATAAAAATTTTCTCTTTGTGAGAAAAAACTTTCATCAAAGAGCTTTAAAAAAGGAAACTAAGATAGCATAGCTCAATTACAGCCATTCAAGAATATAAAAGGGAATCTTTCCAAATATGCTGGATATTATTTTGTTTTTGAAAGAACAATCATTAAATGTGTCACATAGGGTAATTAAAATGTTCAATGTAAATTTTGAATCTGAAAGCAATATTAAGTTTCAAATCTTCTTTAACTCTAAAGTGAAACATCTAATTTTCCTTCTTCCGCTTTGTTAACATTGAAGAATTGCAAATTAACTTTTATATCATTTCTGTTCTCTTTTCTCCTAAATCAAAACTCTCCATTCATTGCTAGCCACTGACAATGAGCTCCAATTTCCTCCATATCTATATTGAGAAGTGCTTTGTGATTGTTATTCTTTTCGAATAAAAGGGTTTAATCTTGCTACATCCTACCAAAGATAGAGACATTTACGTGGCTGACAAATGATACAGACATTTTAGGATTCTTTTCAGTTCTGATTGTTAATATGAAAGCTTGCTTCGTTGTTGGCAAGTAAAATTATACTGCATTTGATTGCCTACCAAGTTCAAATTATGTAACAGGATTTTTTAAAAGAAATAATAATTTTTAACAGAAGTAATTGTACAGATCTTTATCATAACAAAATAATGTGATCAAAATAAAAACTGATGCTGAAAATATATGCTCTGAAAATATTTTATCATTAGGTCTCTTCTTTCCTCTACAATAGCACAATTCCTAACTCTAATGTGACTCCTGATATCAAAATCATAATTTATTCATGTTATAAACCTTTATTAAGCAACAACTTCTCAGGGGTATTGAAGATATCTGTACTTCCTAAACTGAAGAAATAAACTATCTGAGATATTATTTCCCTAAACTTTGTATACTAACACTTACTATATGTGTTTCGCTAAAAATAATTATGGCTACCAGTTAACAGCAATTAAATATATGTATGATTGTGATTGTTTCCACATTGGTCCTGATTAGCTTAAAAGTCAGCAAGTTTGGAATCAGAACTACACACCATGATTTGAATGCCATTTGTATTTATAAATATTCCATGAATGAATAAATGAACCACCCCATGCAAGTCTGAAGTTTTTTTTTTTGTTTTGTTTTGTTTTTTTATTAGGAACTGGTTATAGAAAGAAGGTACAGATGTTAGGATGGCACTAAATAAATGTCAAACAAAGAATCAGAACCCCCAATCCTGGCCCAAAAGATGTCATCTTGCATATATATATGTGTGTGTGTGTGTGTGTGTGTGTGTGTGTATTTTTCTTTTTTTTTTTTTTTTTTGAGATGAAGTCTCACTCTGTCACCCAGGCTGGAGTACGGTGGCACGATCTTGGCTCACTGCAACCTCCACCACCCGAGTTCAAGTGATTCTCCTGCCTCAGTCTCCTGAGTAGCTGGGATTACAGGTATGCATCACCAAGCCCAGCTAATTTTTTTATTTTTAATAGAGATGGGGTTTCACCATGTTGGTCAGGCTGGTCTCAAACTCCTGACCTCAGATGATCTGCCCACCTTGGCTTCCCAAAGTGCTGGGATTATGGGCATTGAGCCACTGCACCCGACCTATGTTGTTTTTCAATGAGACAAAAAGAAATCTAGCAATATCTTAAAACATTTGAGTCCATTGTTAAAGGATTTTCAATCATTTGGACAGCATCTGAGATAAAATTATCTTTTCTTTATCAAATACATTATTCAAAGTCAAAATAATGTCAGTAAAATTGAGGGATGAAGTCTGAGATAACAAAGGAAAAAACCTCGCAAGCATCATTGTGCATTTTACAACTGGTGCTGTGCCTGGCACATAATCCATAGGTATTCAGTAAATGTTTATTTAATGAATCAATGAATTATTAATTTATGTACAGACATATGAGTAGCTTGGACTAGATCATTTCTACAGTCCTATCCACATTAAAATTCTGTGATATTCTGATAACAAATGCTTCTCATTTCTTTAGGAAAATTATGCTCCCTGAGACACTCACCCCTCTCTTACTAGGCAGTTCTTTTTCAGTATAGTTTGAGGCTCAGATTTATCACTTCAAATATATGTATCATTTTGTTGAAACAAACCCATGTCTCAGACTTTCATCAATCCTTTCTTAAGTTATCCTAAATTGTGAGGTTCTACGTGTGTGTGTGTTTGACTCATTGAAGGAGCGGTTTTAATAATGAAAAGTAAAAGCTAAAATTTGTGATGGTAGAAATACCTAGTTATACGTTGTCTTTCTATATCTTCCCAAGCTCCCAGCACATGGATTTTAGATTTAGGTATACTTAAGCTGTTTCACTAGTATGACCAAGGAAGCTCATATCAAGTTGACCCTTCTGCAAATAACAACTATAAACTCTGGATGAAATGCAAGAAACAATGATGACACCAGAGAGTAAACAAAATCAGACAGACTCTGGAGGGAAGTTGGCACTTGTACATGAGTTTCCTATTTTTTTACAGCTTTTAGCTTGAGAGAAATCTGCAGTTGGCAGGAGTATGAGATGGGCAAAATTCTCATATAAAACATACCATCTTCCATATTGGAAGAATAAGAATACAGAGTTCTGGACAACTAGAGTCCCTCAACAGTGAGGGGGAGATCACCCCAAAAAAGAGAGAGTCAGAGAAATAGAGCCCAGATCCTGTGAATAAACTTTACACAAATCTGATTGGCCTTGAGCCACATGTGTACAAAGCCATCTAGCTAAGTAAAAAAGAACTGAACTGAGATTTCAGCTGCTGCTCAAGAGACAAAGTTTATGGTTTGAATCTAACCAAATTAATTGTCTGCTTAAAAAAATAAAAAGTATTCAGCATATAGTAGAATCCAGATTCTCCACAACATAATAGTCACAACATCCAGGATCCAATAGACAATGGCTTGACATATGAAGAATCAAGAAAATGTGATCTATTCTCAAAAGAAAAGACAAGTAGAGGAGGCCTGTTCTACAATGCTGCAAATGTGGAATTAGCAGACAAGTATTTAAAAACAGGTATTATAACTATGGTCAGTGATGTAAAGGAAAATATTATCTCAATGAATGAAAAGGTAGAAAATCTCAGGTGAGAGATTATGTATAAAAAAAGAACCAAATGGAAATTCTGAAATTAAAAATTGCAAAATCTGAAATGTAAACATCACTGGATGGATTTAGAGCAGAACAAAAATAAGAAAGAAAAGAATCACTGAATATGAAGATAGACCAATCAAAATAAGGTAATCTAAAAATAAAAGAGAAAAAGTATTGGTGAAGAATGTGAAGATTGACTCGAAGGCCTGTAGGACAATATCAAAAGATCTAATACACATAGAGTTAGAATCTTAGAAGGAAAGAAGATGGAGAGAAAATGGAGCAGAAAAACTATTTGAAGAAATAATGGCTGAAAAAAATTAAAATTTGGTAAAAGACATGTAATTACAGATACAAAAAAGCTTAGCAAATACCAAGTAGGGATACATACGAAAAAAACCACTCCTGGCCATAAAGCAGTAAAAGTTCTGAAAGTGAAAGATCAATACAAAGGCCTTCAAAAGGGCAGAGAAAAAGGACATAACACATGTGGAGGAACAATAATTTAAATGATTGTTGATTTTCATGAAAAATTTCAAAAGCCAGTATAGTGGAACATTTATATAAGGCTAAAAGGAAAAAAACCCCACGAATAGGTTCTCTCAATGCAGAATTCTATATCCAATGAATTTAGCCTTCAATTAAAAAAAATAAAGATGTTTTAAAGATAAAAGACAACTAAGAGAATTGATTACCAGATTTGTACTGTAAGAAATACTAAAAGAAGTACTTCAGGCTGAGGGACATGACATCAGACAGAAATGTGAAGCTACAGAATGAATAAAAAGTATCAGGAATGATAAGCATCTGGGTAGATAAAAGGGATAGTTTTGTCTTTAAGAAGAAATACATATTATCATTTAAAGTAAAAATTATAACAATGTCTCCTCGGCTTTACAAAAGTATGTAAATATAATACATATAATGATGATAGCTTAAAGGCTGAGGGAGTAAATTAATCTATTTAGTTGCAGTGTTTCTATGTGTTATGTGAAGTAATACAACATTAACGCCAGGAAGACTATGAAAAATTAAGAATGTATATTGTAATCACAGAGTAACTACTAAAGATAATGCATAGTGTTATAATTTTAAAATACAAGAGATAAATTAAAATGTAATTTTAAAATATTCAAATAATCCAAAGGCAGGCAGGAAAAGAACAAGAGAAACAAAGTAGAGGTGACAAATAATAAACAAATAATAAAATGGTAGACATATATCAAACCACATCAATACATACATTATATGTTAATGGACTAGTGCTGCAATTAAAAGGCAGATACTGTAGGAATGAAAAGAAGTAAGATCCAGCTATATGTTATCTTGAAAGGATGCACTTTAAATATAAAGACCCAGGCTGAAAGTGAATGGATGAAAAGAGATACACCAGCAAACAATAAGAGTAAGAAAACTAGAGTGGCTAAATTGATATCGGATAATGTAGACACTAAGACAAAGATTATTACTGGCCTGGCGTGGTGGCTCACACCTGTAATCCCAACACTTTGGGAGGCCGAGGTCAGCGGATCACGAGGTCAGGAGTTCAAGGCCAGCCTGGCCAAGATGGTGAAACCCCATCTCTACTAAAAATACAAAAATTAGCTGGGCATGGTGGCAGGTGCCTGTAATTCCAGCTACTTGAGAGGCTAATGCGGAGAATTGCTTGAACCAGGGAGTTGGAGCTTGCAGTGAGCCGAGATTGCGCCACTGTATTCCAGCCTGGGCGACAGAGCAAGACTCCATCTCACCAAAAAAAAAAAAAAAAAAAAAAAAAATTAGTAAGGGACATTTCATAACGGTAAAATCACCAATAGGACATAATAATCATAAATGTATATACACCTAATATTAATGCTTCAAAGTACATAAAGCAGAAATTGGCCTAATTAAAATAAGCGGACAATTCCACAATTATATGAGATTTTTAACTCTCATTTCTTAGCAACTGTTAGATTAAAAAATTAAAAAAAAACAAAAATGATTTAAAGCTAATTGTTACTTATGGAACACTACACCCACCATCTGAAAAACATTCTTTCGAAGTACATATGCTATCAAGATAGAGCATGTATGATAGGCTATAAAAATTAAATAACACTTCTAAAAAATCCCTGGGTCAAAGAAAAAATTAGAAAATTTGAAAATATTTTGAATTTGAATTCTGATTTTGACATTTAAAATATACTTAACCTTGGACAACTGATTGGGATTGCTGAGTGTCAGTTTCTTCTTCAATAAAGTGGAGATATTAACCTTCACTGGGTTATCGTGAAGATTAAATGAAATAATGTATGTAAAGCACTTAGCATAACTTCTGGCATAATAATGATACTTAATGTCGTTGTTCATAATGAGAAGCCATGACTGAGGGTATATGGGCACACTTACAGGGTCTCCTGCTACTTCCATCATTCTGTCTTTGTTTTTTTTGGTGGGGGAGGGTCTCTAACCAGTTGGATGGTATTAATAAGATCTCTCTCTCTTTTTTTTTTTTTTTCTGGGGCATCGCTCTGTCACGCAGGTTGTAGTGTAGTGGCACAATCATAGCATACGGCAGGCTCTAACTTCTGGGCTCAAATGATCCTTCTGCTTCAGCCTCCCAAGTAGCTGGCACTGCAGGAATGTGCCACATTCAGCTGATTTTCTTGATTTTTGGTAGAGACAATGTCTCACTATCATAAATGTTGCCCAGGCTGCTCTCAAATTCCCAAGCTCAAGTGATCCACCCACCTTGGCCTTCCAAAATGCTAGGATTACGGATGTGACCCGCTGTGACCAGCTGATCATTCTGTCTTTCACTACTACCCAAGAAGACCATGCTGTATCATTCTACTCTTTATATTTCTTTGTTGATAAATGATCCCGCCCTATCTGATTTAATTTTTATCTCCTTACTGTGTAACATTACACAGTGGATTTACGTAGACACACAAGAGATTTATGCATCCTTTGAATCCAAATCTTGAGTTGAGGACAATGCTTCCATCCTCAGGCCCCCATTCAGCCTGGGTGTCTGTCTTCAGTACCATTGTTGACAAGACGCCAGTAGCCCATCTCCTAAAACTTGCAATTTGAGACTTCGACTTCATCACGCTGGTTCTCCATTTCCCAGATATCAAAAAGCAATTTGGAAAATGAGGAACCATGATTATCTTCTATTTTTTTTCCTAACTCAGTTGTACAAATTCAGCAATGATTTTCATGTACTCTGTTTCTTGAAGTATCTCTTTTTAAATGCTTATAATAATAACTACCTCACAGGAACCTTGGTGTCTAATTAATTATTGTTTGTCAAAAGCTTTAGGATCTTCAGCTGGAAAGGGGATTGGGGAAGCACACAGTGTCATCTTGGAGAGCTCTGCATCTTGCTATATTGAATGGAGCTAGTGTCTCTGTGTAATCAAATTGACCACACTGCTAGGGCTTACGCTGTAATTAATGAAACCCGTGCAGACCCAATGAAGTGAACAGTCTATTATTTTTAGATTGAATAATTAAGCCTGAAGAGCTTCAGTGCTTTTTCCAATAGCTTCCTTTTTTTCAGATGACTATTGACATTTTGGTTCTCAATCTCTTTTCATTGTGTCAGTTCGGTGTGTGTCCATTTATCTCATGTCATGCAGAATTCATTATAATACCAAAAATGCTGAATCTTTACAAATGTATTTTTTAAAAAGAACTAAGGCCTACCTTAGAAACAAACTCAACATAATACAAAAGTAAGGGGAATGGTATGCATTTTATTAAGGGCCTGCACCGTGTCAGGTACTATGTGGGTACCTTACATATTCAACTTCATCTAATTTTTTCCGAGTCACAAAGTGAAGCTGGTCTAATCTCCATTTTATGGATGAAGAAAGTAGCTCAAGGAGGTAAAATTATTTAAGGATACCAGCAAGCAAGGGGCAGAGGCAGTATTTGAACCCAAGCCTCTCTAATTCTAAAATTCACACTCTTTCCACAAGTAGCAGAGGCCTGTCTCTGTGCCCATTCAAGAAAGTATGTTATTCTGAGCCATTGGGACATACCTTGAGAGTCTTGTTGTGTCTCTGCAGCTCCCGGCACAGACTCTCCAATTTGCTTCGAGCGAGGATAGCTCTGCTGTGTTCACCTTGTAACTGGTCCTTTTCTTTTTGAATTTGTACCTGTTTCTTTTGGAGGAGCTTTAACTTCTTTTGCTCAGTACGATGTTCATCCAGCTGTACACATGGAGATACAAACATGAAAGAAAATGGCAGGGATCTCCTTGGAGTCGATAGAAAAAAAGCAAACCTAAAGATTACTCTATGGTTGTTTGGAAACATTCTTTGCTATTATCTCTTCCTCTGGAAGTAAATGAAATTCATAAGTGTCACCTTTGTAGTACTTGAAGGTATAGTTTTCAGAGCACAGCATTGATAGGTTTTTCATTATTACTAGTCTCTTTTTACTTTGATCTATTTTTGGATGGTCTAGAAATATTTTTCCTGAGTCTATCTAACCAATATTGAATAGCCAGACAAAATCGAAAGGCATGCCTTGGAATCTGTAAACTGCCAGAGTTCATGACGATGCCTTGCACTGAGGCAGTGATCAACAGTCTGTCTGCCTGGGTTGCATTTAGTTCGCGTAATTCTTCCTTGAAAAAAGCTTCTAGCACTATTTTTAAAAATAGGAAAGAGAAATGCAGCCTTCTGGTAAACAGAAGATGAAGTCCTCTTCTTTATAATTTTGGGCTCTGAGTGTGGATTGTTTGTGTGTGGGAAAGGAGAAGAGAAAGTATCCTTCCACTACCTAAGTATTGACGGGTTTTCACCAAACCATCAGAAATAGCTACTGCATGATTCAACAGCATGAATAGCAAATATCTGTAACATGCCTTGCTGCTCCCCACCCACACCCGCCCTGTGCTTATAACAAATAGATCATTCTGCTGGTTTCTGCTGAGTCCAGGTGAACTCTTCTCGTGTTCCTCCAGCAGCCACAAATGCCCTGGAACATGAAATCAACTTACTACTGTACTTTCCATCTTGGATGCTGAAGTTCTAGGATAGGATTGTCAGTAAAATGCAGGACACCCCGTTAAATTTAAATTTCAAATACACAAGAAATAATTTTTAGCATAGGTTTTAATATATTCCAAATATTGCATGAGACATATTTTTGCCAAAAAGTTATTTGTTGTTTATCTGAAGTGTAAACTTAACTGAGTGTAATGTATGTTTATTTGTTACATCTGGCAACATTATTATGGAGTTCTAGACCTGGTGTGGGGAGCATGGGGATAAACCTCAGAAGCCTCCAGAGAGAGATCAGTGGACTCTAGGAGTGTCGATCTCAGACTGACCATCACTGGGGCCACATTCAAGCAGCAGCCGTTTGTCCTGAGCCATTTCCTCCACTGGCCTTGGTTCCTGTAGTGCCCAGATGGTGATGAAGTCAGGTAAGTACTAGTCCTAATAACGACTTTGTTGATGAACAGAAAGGAAAAGCCCTGGTTCTTCTGGACCTCAGGTGTTCTGGTGCCTCACAGAGCCTAATGCAAATGGATACAGATGCCACATGAGCTCTGACACGTGCCTCAGTTTCCCCATTTTAAAAAAGCCATTGGGGCCAGGCGTGGTGGCTCATGCCTGTAATCCCAGCACTTTGGGATGCAAGGCAGGCAGATCATGAGGTCAGGAGATCAAGATCATCCTGGCCAACATGGTGAAACCCCATCTCTACTAAAAATACAAAAATTAGCCGGGTGTGGCGGCGCACACCTGTAATCCCAGCTACTTGGGAGGCTGAGGCAGGAGAATTGCTTGAACCAGGGAGATGGAGGTTGTAGTAAGTCGAGATTGTGCCACTGCACTCCAGCCTGGGTGACAGAGCAAGACTCCGTCTCAAAAAATCATAATAATAAATAACAAATAAAAAGCAGTTATTCTTTCTGAGTGAGATGAACACCTGTCACACTTTCTTCAGTTCACATTTTATTTCTTTCCTCTCTCCCTCCTGCCACCCTAAAATAAGCATTTTAAACCCTTGCCAGATAAAACTAAGGCTATGTATATATGATATTCTATCTTCAAACTTACGTGCAATTTCTAGCTACTAGTGGAAATTAGCATTGTAAAAACAAGACCCATATTACTAAAAATATTGATTGAAATAGATATGCTCCTTGGAAAATAAATAATCTGTTATTTCTCATGCTAAGCTTGCTCATAGATGTGATCCTTTCATTTTGCACCATAGTTATAAGATAGGCATGAAATTTCTTGCACATATATTTTGATTTTAAATGACTATTGTCCTTTCTTGAAATTTATATATTGTAGATCGGGCATGGTGGCTCATGCCTGTAATCCCAGCACTTTGGGAGGCTGAGGTGGGCGGATCACCTGAAGTCAGGAGGTCGAAACCAGCCTGGCCAACACGGTTAAACCTCGTCTCTACTAAAAACACAAAGATTAGCTGGGCCTAGGGGCGGGCGCCTGTAATCCCAGCTACTCGGGAGGCTGAGGCAGGAGAATCGCTTGAGCCTGGGAGGCAGAGGTTGCAGTGAGTTGAGATCGTGCCACTGCACTCCAGCCTGGGTGACAAGAGCAATACTCCATCTCAAAAAAAAAAAAAAAAGAAAGAAACGAAATTTATATATTGTTATTATTCTTGCCATTCTGGTTTAGACTTTACTTTCTGAAGATGAAACCTATATCAGGGTTTCTGAACCCTAACACAAGTAACATATTGGGCCAGATAATTTTTTGTTGTTGGGGCTATCCTATGCCTTGTAAGTTGTTCAACACCATCCCTGGCCCCTACCTGCTATATGCCAGTAGCACTGCGCAATTGCAACACCCCAAAATATCTCCCAACAGACATGCCTATTGTTGCCTGGTGGACAAAACTGTCCTTGTTTAGGGAACTCTGCACTGTGTGTCTTTATCTGAGTGTCAGGAGGAAGACGTCCTATAGGTGTTTCCTAAGTTGAAAGAGAAATGATTTGTGCTTGCTCATTATCCATTTAATGTTTTATTTTTATTTTTAATTTTAATTTTTTTAGAGACAGAGTCTTGCTCAGTCACCCAGGCTGGAGTACAGTGGCACAATCACTGATAGTTCACTGAAGCCTCAAACACCTGGCTTCAGTCATCCTCCTGCCTCAGCCTCCTGAGTAGCTGGGACAACAGATGCGTGCCACCATGCCCAGCTAATTCTTTTTGTAGAGATGGGTTCTCGCCATATTGTCCAGGCTGGTGTTGAGCTCCCGAGTTCAAGCAATCCGCCTGCCTTGGCCTCCCAAAGTGCTGGGATTACAGGCACGGGCCACTGTGCTCAGTCTATTTTGTTTCTAATATTAATCAAGATAATACACCAGAACTTTCCTTTACATTTTAAAAAGTTTAAATTATTAACAAAGTAATTCAGCCAATATTCAAGTGATTCTTGGCATCGAAGACAATGAAAATACACATTCCCTGCCCTCTGAGTTCTTACTGCACAGCTTCAGTCAAATGCAGGCTTTGCAATTTTACTTAGGCATAGTCCTTCTGTACAATTGTAATAGGCATATAGAATGTCTGTCTGTCATTTCTCTTGTTTTCTTTCTCTTTTTTACTAAGTTAAAAAGCAAAATTATTGCTAAGTACTAAATTAAAATCCTATTACTGATGTTGTTTTAACTACATAAGAAATGAGGAAATTAAATGCGAAAAATATTTCTCCCAGGCCATTTCCTAATTTAGTCATGAAGTGTCCTTACTTATTAATGAGCTTATCTTTATTTATTAATGAATACAATGTCAGGTAATATTACAGGATTTAGACTCTGCAAGGATGAGTGAGCTAGAGTGGCAGTTTGATTCACAGCTTTGAATTTGATGATTTATTCCATGTGAACACTTATATTTCAGTCGTTTTCTATATTAATATCCAAATCAGTGAGCAAGGCAATAGGCTTTAGTCTCCACGTAAAAAATTGAAATTCCTCATAATTTTTCTTTTCTGAAAAGGAAATGTAATAGGTTTTTTGGGTCAATTTTCTCCTATTCATTTTTTCTAGAATGACCTCTCGGGTTTGAAAGTTTATTACAAGAGATGATACAAATGCCAAAGTATAGCAAGTAAGGCTTGAATTGAATATGGTCTCTCGAAAAACAATCTCTTGTTTGTTGGGGGTGACTGCTTTGCTAGGAGGATGAGTAGGTACAGGGAGTTCCCTGAGACCAGGATGAACAACACTGGCTCATGGAGAAAATATCGGTAAGTCTGGAAAAGTGATGCTTCCCCAATGTACTGCCGTGGGACTGCAGCACCATACATCACTTCCTGTATTAGTCTAGAATGCTGCCCAGTTCCCTCAAGTATAGAACATGGCGCTGGAAATGAAACATGAATGGCCTTGGTATGTGTTGGTAAATTGAAGGGGCAAAGGAAAAACGACTCAGAAAATACTAAAAAGAGCAAGGATGGATAGGTGAGAATCGCATGGAAATGTGAGAGTGGGGGCCAGATTTGGAGAGAAAATATTATTTTTGACACCTAACTTATGGTATTGAAATTCTTAATAGCCAGTGCAATACAAGTTGCAAGAAAATTGATACACTGATACTTGCTTTGTGAGTTTCTACTGCTCTTTTGGGAAGCAATATGGCCATAAAGTTTAAAAACCAGAAAGCACTCATCTTGTTTAATTTGGTAATTCTATTTCTGGAAATTTTTCTTAAAATCATAAAAAAGAAGGAGAAAAAACAAAGCTGATACGTGATGATGTTCATTGCAGAAATATTTGATAAAGCAAAATAGTGAGAGGAATTTAAATATCTTCAAATTATTGAATCAGTAGATACAGCCACTTAACGGAATATGATACAACCTTTACAAAAAATATTTATGAAGACTATATATTATATGGAAAAATGCCTGTCATGTACAAAACCAGACATCAACTTATATGTACCTTATGGCTGTAATTATAATTAAAAGCATTTCTGCATATACAGCAGAATAGGAAAAGAATACGCATAAAACAAAGTTTGTATTTTACATGAGGGATTAGAGGTATTTTTATTTTGTGTATTCACCACTATATATAATCATAATGTAGTTTGTATGTCTAAAAAATAATCTAAAAATATTGTTGGCAGAGTTAAGTAATCAGCCAGTCACTTAGAGATTCAGAATTTTTCTGGATCTATTGCATAATAATTCAGCATAACAGGATGCATCAGGTAGAAGGACAGAAAGATTACAGGACTAGATTCAGAGTGAAAAACAAAGAAAACAAGTCACTCACTGAAGTGTACTCCATCTACAGGGATGAAGAGTTTGTGGGCCTGAAGCTTATTCAGTTTTGGAGGCCCTCTTAAAAAAAAAATTAAAGCGAATTAGGCCCCGGGCCTCAAAGGGGTCCATGTAAGTGAGATGTCCTGAGGTTTAAGCTTCCTTAGCTGCAATGGTAAATCTACTGTTGGGGGCAGTTCAACCTACTGTCTGGAGGAATTTTTTGCTATATGGAGTCTTAAGTTTCATTCTCCTGTCACTGTTTCTTCAAAAGAAATAACTGAAAGAACTTGTATTTTGCCCCAAACTACTTTTTATTTGCAACTACATGATTTCATGCAATTCTTCTAAACAACAAGGACACAAAATAGACTTCTTTGTGTATAAATAACTTACATATGCCCCATATAGTACATGTTGAAAGTTGCTAGAACAGCTCTTCCACTCCTATAATGTTCTGGTATCCAACAGTGTTGATGCGCAATATATAAATGCCAAGTCCAAGATTAAAAACTCAGGCAACTGACTAACTTTTAAAAAGTTCCCCAAACTATGTCAATATATCTAAAATGTGTATATATATACATTTTAAGAAAGATTATTCTCAATAAGTTCTATAAAAATAACTTCAATTGTTTGGTCCATCTAACTTCACTACTATTAGTATGAGCTTTCAGTCTACAGTAAGATTTATTTTACCTTTTTCTCAACGTGACACCAACACAATCAAAAGGAGCTAGTGAGGTGCTAACATGTGAGAATCAGCCCAGTGATTCTGGTCGCAATGCATTTCAGGGAGAGGAACCCATGTCGCTGGGATTGGGTGATATGGTTTATTTTCCTTCCCTGATTTGGATAACCAAATGGAACAGATAGAGATTCTGATGGGAATTCCTTCAAAAGAATTTTTGTAGAAGCAGAAATAAAGGAGAAGGTTACTGCCGAGCTTTATTAGAGAGGATGCCACATCTGATCTGTGGGTCTCATAGTCTGCAGGGTTAGCACACAGACCTCAGATGTTGGTCTTTACAATTCATTCTCAGATTGGCAGGTGTTTGTTTTTCCTTGAAACTAGAGGCACTGGGCTCACTAAGTCCTCCCCTTTTCTCCAACCAGCCAATTTTAGAGTTACTAGTGAGGAGACAGTCCACTTTGAGGATTCTCTGATGGTTGAGAGTAGCTTCCTTTGCTCCTAGGGGCCCCAATTTATTGAGAAGGTGGCTGCCTAGGAGCACTTAGAACAGGGTACAAAACAATTCACATGAAATGCTTTGCTATTGTAGGCAAAAGGGAGAAGAATGAGGATCAAAGATAATAAATACAGAAATGGACCAGACTAGAATGTGCCATGAACTGAAGGATGGCATGACTCAACCCCCTGCTGTCTTCCCTTTGTAGCTCTCAAAAATCCTAGGTAGGAGAACTGAGTGAAAGTTTGAAAATATGTTATCTATCTATCTGTCTGTATTTATTTATGTATGTATTTATATTTAGAGACAGGGTCTTGCTGTCACCCAGGCTGGAGTGCAGTGGCACAATCATAGCTCATTGCAACCTCAAACTCCTGAGTTCAAGCAATCCTCCTGCCACAGCCTCCTGAGAAGCTAGGACTACAGGTGCTCATCACCATGCCCAGCTAATTTAAAAAACTGTAGAGATGGGGGCTCACTATGTTATCAAGGTTGGTCTTGAACTACTGGCCTGGGGCAATCCTCCCACCTTGGCCTCCCAAAGTGTTGGATTACAGGTGTGAGCCACTGCACCTGGCCTGTTTATCTTTATATTGAGTATATTTCTATTTTATTACAAAACTAAAAAGAACTTTAAAATATCTACAATTTTCAATCACATATACTTCAGTCTCCTAGCCCCAAAATTACACACATATTGGAGGTGGTGGTGGACACTCCAATTCTAGCCTCTTTCTTCCTCTTGCTGTTATTTCTCAACTTTTCTTTCCTTTTTTTTTTCCTTAAGAAATTCTTCTTTTATGAATTCTAGCTCAGGCTTGTTCAAAGGTACCAGCCATGGTCTTTATTTAATGAGGTGCCTGGAAAACTAAGTCTCCTTTTCTCAGCTCTAACTGGAGCCTGAATCTTTCTGAGAAAAGAAGCTAATCAAAGATCTTACCAATTCAGCATACTTCTTGAATAAAAAATCGAACTTTTCTTCAGGTGTTGGCAATTTGTTCAGATTTTGCATTAGCAGGTTGGCTTCTTTGCCTTAAAAAAAAAAAAAAAGACATGAAAAAAATAAGTGTTGAATTTACAGTCAGGTGATAAGGGCTGGAGTCTCAGATTGACCACTTGCTAATTATTCCCCACTTTGGCCAAGCCATTCATCTTATCAGATGTAATTTTCTTTCCTATAGAAAGGATGACACCTACTTACAGAGTGAATGTTAGTTGGGAAGTTTGTGAGTGTGTGGCACAGTGTGAGGTTCATGGCAGAGTCTCAATAAATGTTTGCTATAACAGAATCCCCCAGTTTTCATCACAAGAATCCATTCTTATTACTCCTCCCTGTATTCTTCAGAATCAAAAGATTTTATGCATCAAAAATACTGACTTTCTGAAAGACTACATCACCCATTTTCCCATTTGAATTAACAAAAAGGAAGCAAAACAGCCAATCAAAATTTCTGACTAGTATGAAACAGCAACACGGAGTTGCTAGGATTCCAGCCAAAAGCAGAGAAGCTTGATGAAGTAGCCTGCCCATTTTTTCCCTGTGTTTTTCGTTCTTTTGGTAACTCTTTTCCCTCTTTTAGAGGGAACCAAGTTTCTCTTTTTTGTACGTAAACCCATTCCTTGGGATTGGAGTGGGAATACCTCTGATCCTGTTTCCTACCAAACAGAATAAAATCATTATAGAAGGAAAACCAAGTGAAGACATGGAAGGCCTTTTCACAAGCCTTTTTGTGTCTCTGTGATAATGGACGCAGCCTTCTCTGGCCTTCCTTTCCTTCACCTAGGCCTTAATATCCGTTGGCAGTTTCATATTGTTTCCAGTTGGAGCTTATGCTATATTAAAAAAAATTAACCCTGTTAAATAACAATGAACAGGTGGGGCATTTTTCCCATCCCTACCTATCTATGAAAACCACTGTTTAATCAGAGTAGAGTGGTCAAGCCACACAACAAAGCCCACACTTCCTGATATAAATCTGCTTAAGAAAATTAACAACTTGGTTGGGCGAGGTGGCTAACACCTGTAATCCCAGCACTTTGGGAGGCCGAGGCAGGCGCATCACGAGGTCAGGAGTTCGAGATCAGCCTGACCAACATGATGAAACCCCATCTCCACTAAAAATACAAAACTTAGCCGGGCGTGGTGACGCGCACCTGTAATCCCAGCTACTCAGGAGGCTGAGACAGGAGAATCATTTGAACCAGGGAGGCGGAAGTTGCAGTGAGCTGAGATCATGCCACTGCACTCCAGCCTGGGTGACAGAGTGAGACTCCGTCTCAAAAAAAAAAAAAGAAAAGAAAAGAAAAGAAAATTAACAACTTTGACCTTTCTCCCAAGAACAGACATTTCCCCTTGGCTAGAGTACTTGCTTTCATCTTGGAGAGACATGTATGTCATGAAATTAGCGTTGCCAGATGAAATATAGGACATGGGGCACACTTGTACTAAAAAATGAGTGGTGTTTACCTGAAATTCTAATTTTTCTGGACATCCTGTATTTTCCTTTGCTAAATCTGGCAACCTTACATGGAATCAAGGAATTTGATGTCTAGAAGGAATTTCAAAGAGCATCCAGACTAATGGGTTAATTTCATGGATTTTAGTATTTAAGGCCCAGAAAAGTCCAAAGTTACATGATTAGTGCTGGCAGAGCGAAGGCTTGAATCCAAGGCTTGTCTCCTTGTTCTAAGTCACTCCACTCTCATGTGGAATTCTGATGCTAGAGAAACCTAGAGAAATAGGAAACTTTTTTTTTTTTTTTTTGAAAAAATGACCTCATTTCCAACAGTTAGTTTGGCCTATCTTTGCCTAGTGAGTCAGTTCAGATTAGCCTAAGACAGGGGAAGGTGGGTGTGAGTAGGGTCCCTCCCAGCTCTCCAATTATGGCCTGTGGCATCTGCAGCTGATAATCACTGCCGCCTCGCCCCTGCCAGGCATGTGCTTTGGTTATCCCTCTACTGACCGGGATGGATTTGTATTGGTCAGGCCATCCCTTCACCCTTGTCTTCAGTCCAGGGAAGGTGCCCACATAAAGACTACAATCCCAAGTTAGAGTGTCATCTATTAAAGTCAAGAGACTGTACCTTTGATCATTCTTGGCCCAGGATGCAACGTAGCATTTGGCCCATGGCAAGTGCTCAGTAAATGATGATAATAATAGAATAAAACAAAGCTGTCCAGGCGCGGGGTGGCTCATGCCTGTAATCCCAGCACTTTGGGAGGCTGACGTGGGCAGATCATGAGGTCAGGAGATCGAGACCATCCTGGCCAACATGGTGAAACCCCATCTCTACTAAAATACAAAAAATTAGCTAGGCCCAGTGGTGGTGTGCGCCTGTAGTCCCAGCTGCTAGGGAGGCTGAGGCAGGGGAATCACTTGAACCCAGGAAGCAGAAATTGCAGTGAGCCGAGATTGCACTGCACTCCATTGCAAACAAACAAATGAAACAAAACAAAAACAAAGCCAACTAGCTCAAACTCATATCATGGGAGTCAAATAAACAATGTCATGAAAACAACTTTTTGTGACCAACTAGAGGAAAAACAGGTCTTACTCTCACCTGTGATGTTTTACGTTTCCTGGGATACGGCTCAGTGTGTGTACTGAGATATAAAACCATTACATGTCTTGTTTGGGAGAGATAGAAATGAGTGAGTCCAAAGGTTCTCGCTTTCTTCCCACATTAAGTATCTTCTCCCCTTTGGTTTTATTTTCTGTAACTGTGAGAAGAGGTTTCTTTTGTTTTGTTTGTTTTGTTTTTTAACCTTCACACACTCACTGAGGTCTCTTTCTGCTCTAGTCTTTTTGCTAGAAGGTTAACATCCAGGTACATCAATATGCCTTCAAAAATTATTCCTCCCGCCAACAAAAAATCCAGGAAACAGAATTTCTGTTTGTAAGTCTCACAGGAAAAGCATTAAAACTGGAAATTAAAAAAAAAAAAAA